AATGACACTTCTGGCTTGAAGCATTTAAGAATCAGGGTGCCTCTCCCTCACCCCATTTCCTCTTCAGTGGCCACAGGTGGATGTGAATGCCAGGAGAGCTACCAAGCCTTGGGTAGATTTTTGCATAAATTAAGAAACAAACCTTTCTTTTTTGAATGGCGTGTCTATGGCAGCAGTGGTGGGTAAGTTGTTACCCTTAACTTATCCTATTTATTATACCACTGCACAATTAGATGGAAAAAGTAATCGTACCAGATTTCATACTTATAGTGGGGAAAAGCAAGAACAAAACCTCCTAACACTTTCATATCTTGTTAAGTATTTGGGAAAGTTAAATAGGAAAACCTAAATGCTACTATTTGGGGCTATCATTATTACACAGTATTTACTAAAATTCTGATGGCACTCTGTTGTCTACCAGGAAACAGTCAACTAAAGACACAGTAACAATCTTAACCTACTCATATTTCTTATAGAGAGCAAGATCAGGCTTAAAGTTATCTAAAAATTAAGGATATCCTTTCAATAATGGAATGATAATACCAATATGCTGGGTTTCTATAATTTTTATAGCATATAAACAACAAAACATTTAACTTTTGGGGGGGCAGTACTGAGGTTTGAACCCAGGGCTTCACACTTGTTAGGCAGGTGCTCTATCACTCCAGCCACCCCACCAGCCTAATTCTGTATCTTGAAGTATCTTGAATATGCATGACAACCTCATAATCGCCTGTTAATTCTCACAAGTTCAATTCCTCTCAAAGATTTATAGTAAAAACTGTATGAACATGTACTGTGCCTCTGGGAAAGAAGACTTACAAAGAAATTCCTAAAAAAAATTCATTGTCAGAATGAAACCTTAAGTTTTCTGTCATATTGGTCCAGAAATCACCAGTGTTGATATTCATGCTGGCTTGAGCAGAAACCACTTTGAGATCTAAGTAACGTTCCTAAAGTGAGGAAAACCAGAAACTTAAGCAGTAGAGACCAATCCACAACAGTCCTGTGCCTCCCGATGGACAATGGATTGCTAACTTCCTCCACAGCTACACGTGCCACGGCAGGTGTGGGAGACACACACAGAGCTGCCTGCCACATGTCCTGCCATAGGCAGGGCTCATCCCAACTGCTTGGTATGGGTTAAAGCAGAAAGACTTCCAAACCAGTTGGTAAGGGGGTGCTCCTTAAAGTCTCTTGAGCAACTTCTACCTATGATTCCCTGCTCTTCCTCAAGGCCTCTCCACAAGTGCTCATGATAGGGACCCCAGCCTCTTTCTTCTACTCTGTGGCATTTGTTCCAATTGGCCAAAACCCATGTGCTGGGAACACTTCTCATCTCCACTTTTGGTGCCAGGTGGCTGTTAGGCAGGTGCAATTGGTACAAAGTTTAGAGATGTGGAAGATAAGCCTCTTCAAAGAGGTGACTTCTCTAAGGTCACACACCCTTAAAGACAGTTCTGACTTCCAAATCCCTGCTTTCCTCACTTTGCTTTTTCTTAATATTTTCTTGGAAGTTATGAATTTGGTCTGATACAAAACTATTTGCGCAACACCCAAAACATAACTTTTGAGACAAATTAGCTGTGCTCATTCTTTGGGTGGGGTAATTTTAGTGTCTAGTGGATGCCCTGCTGTATAAAAAAAAGACCCTAGTTTCTCCCTTATGTGCCAATGGCATTAAATGCATACATATCACATACTCAACTATGGGTGGGGTGTTGGTCTTGTACCTGTACTGTTTGGCCCAAGATGTACTTTTGGGAACAGCCATTGAAAATGGATCACATACTCAAAAGAGAAATTTAAGCTACACAGTACTTTGAAATCCAGTTACAGCTACGTGATACAGTCGGAATCACGCATGCGTGATGTTCATGCTGGAGCGCCTCACTGTGGGCCATTTCTTCAGTCTTCTGACAGTTCAGCAGGCCATGACTAACAACTACTGAAGGCTTCCCCCAAAATCCCAGGGCTTCCTTTGAGGAAATTAAGTCACTTTCACAAAGTTCTTATTAGAGATCAGCTGGCACAGACAGGAGCCAGAATCTACTCCTGTGCTCACAATGCCACGGAGCCTCTCTCCAAAGAAAGCAGAAGGGGACTGACTGCTCACAGATAGACTCATCTGACTTGAATCAACAGAAAACAGGACCTGAAATGATGTATGACCCACTCTTCATTTGATCCAGAATTTATGGCCTGTGACCTCACAGGCTGCCCTCAATCACCCACAGACCAAGGTTCAGCTCTTGCTGGCACTCCCAACACTCAAATTCTTCACATTTGTTCTTTTACAGTAAAAATCAAGCTTGTAGCGATTCTGCTTTGAGTTAGGAAGACTTAACTCAGTAAACCACGTTTTCGGTAAAGCAAATGTCAACATGGCAAGACCTCACCCTGATTTACTTCTGATCCTGCTTTCATGTAGCTTTACCATGTTATGTCCCCTCTTTGAATCGGTCTCTTCTTTTGTAAAACAAGGACAATCCTCCATCCATCCTTCTTCAAGTGGCTGTTACACTAGTAGGGAAGTTTTAAGAAGTTAGCACTGGAAAGAATGGTAGAAGAGTAAACATGGTAGCAGCATGCCCCTTTGGTAATTGTAGTTGACATGTTGCTGGTTTTTCAAATTGTGGTTTGCCAGTTACTGTTTCAAATTGTGACATTTTCTCACTCACCCCTTCTTTGAAGCTTGAGTCAGTATTGTAAAGCTCCTTTTTAAAAAAAAGAGTTTATCACAGGAATCAAAACAGACTGCATTTTAGACATAAGGAGAAAGGAATGGAATAATCTTTGGGCTTAAGAGCAGCTTACTGTATGTGGCGTTCACTACAGGCATGGCTCTAAGTGCTTTAACAAGTGGACCCATTGATTCCTCACAAGCACTCTGGAAGAGGCATTCTTATTATCTTCATTTTCAGATGAAGAACCTGAACACATGTTAATAAATGGTTGCCAACATATGAACCAAGAGGTTCCAAAAATCTGAATTCCTAGATATATTTTATTGCCTTCTTAAAACAGTGATCAAAATTAGTTTATATACATTTAAGTCTTTCCTATTTAAAAAAAATGAAACATTTTAATGGTGGGGGAATCCTCAAAAGGGGGAGAGAAAGGAAAATCAGAGGAGGTAAATGGAAATGTATGCTTTAGGAAGGAGAGGGCTGGGGTTCTAAAATTGTTACAGAATGAACTGAAACCCAAAAACTAGAATCCTAATATTCAAATTCTTAAAATAACCACAAAAGCACTTTTGAATTAAATATTCAGAACATTGAAATTTAGTATATTTGGAAGTATATGATCAGAACACATATGGAGGGCTGGTGTAGTGGCTCAAGTAGTAGAGTGCCTGCCTTGAAAAGTGTGAGGCCCTGAGTTAAAAAACCCAGTACTACCCCCTCCCCCCCCCAAAACCCCTCAAAATAAAAAAAAAATGTGGAAACGTAAAGTGAGACTAGAAAAAGACCTGCCAATGTTTACACATACATTCATATATATATGTTTTCTTTCTTTTTGGTGAGAATGGGGTTTGAATTCAGAGCTTTGTGTTCCCAAAACAGGCACACTTGAGCCACACCTCCAATCCATTTTACTCTGGTTATTTTGGAGATGGGAGTCTCACTATTTACCTTGACTTGGCCTCAAATGTGATCCTACTAATCTCAGCCTCCCAAGTAGCTAGGATTATAGAAGCCACTGGTGCCTGACTACCAAAGTATTTTTAAAGGTATAAGGCTATGATTTTCATACAAAAAAAAGTTAGGCAGCAATGTTATTAAATCAGTAAACTATCAACCTAAACGGAATACTCAGTTTGCATTTCCACTAAAACGCAGCTAGTAACATCTGACAGTAATCAACATTGTATTTAATAAGCAATTATGAACAGCAAAGCACAACAATATTAAGTAAATGTTCTGTTTTAAAATCTCCCTCATTTTGGCTTCCCATAATGAGGTATTTGCAGAAGTATTTGTTCACATTCAAACTGAAGAAGTTCTTATTTAGGAGAAAAGGATAGACTTTTAAAAAGTCATTATTTTTTAATAACAACCAATAATCTCTCCAGCTCCCAATTACAATTAGGGTGGTTTATATACTTACTGCCTCTCAAAATACATACACTAAGACTAATTTACTTTTTATTTTACCTTATTGGGTGCTAGGAATTGAATTTGGGGCCCTCAGCATATGCTAAGCATACATCCTCATCACTGAGCTACACCCTCAGCCTGTAAAGCTAAAGATTTTAAAATTATATGCAAAAACTGCATTCTATCCTGCACTAGCACCAACTCCTACAGAGAGGAGGTCTCTACTTTGGCCATCATCTTAGGGACAGAAAACATGCCTTAGTTTCAATGACAGACATCAGAAGACTAGAAAACCAATGTAGCCTCAAAATATATGAGAGCCAAAGACTGCCAAAAGAGTAACTTGGAAATTACTTAGCAATAGGTACCAATTTTCTATTGTAAGGGGAAGAGTAAGTTATTTCATTTGGCTCATTTAGCTCAATTATTAGCATTTTATCTAAAATCTGTATCATCTGTTTGGAAAAACTTCAGAAGGAAGACATGTTGAGTTGATTCATCTCCTATATACCTTGATCCAAACATGATTAAACTTGGGTCAAAGAAGCAGTTTCATTTTGTGGCTTGTTTTTCCCCTCCTCTCTGCATTTCACCGCTCCCCCTCCCCCCGCCCACCACCTTTTGGAGATAGGTCTCACTATGTAGCCCAGGCTGGCCTGGAAGTCACAATCCTCCTGCCTCAACCTCTTTTCTGTATTTGACACAAGCAGTTACTCTCCTTCATTTGAAAATAATAGGGTGAAACAGTCATCTAGATCTAGACTACACATTCAGCCTCACGTTAGAGCTATACATCCACATGTGTATATGTATGGTTGTTGCTGGGGACTGAACACAGGACCTTGCACAAGCTAGGTAAGTGCTCTGTACCACTGAGCTACATCCCCAGCCCTTGGTTTTTTGAGACAGAGTCTCACTATGTAGCTCAGGCTGGCCTTGAACTCACTATGTAGTCTAGGCTAGCCTTGAACTCTCGATCTTCCTGCCCTCAGCCTCCATGCTCAGCATATTCACCTTATACCTAACCAAAATTTTAAACAAAACTGGACATTTTAACTCAGGACTTAAATAATGTTTAAGATTCAGAAAGACTGCTGGCAGCAACTAAAAGCACTTAACTGATAGTAGTATTCTGAAGCCAAGTCAGTGTTCTTACAGGATTTCTACCTTACCTACAGAGAAACAGGTATAGCCCTTAATCCACTCCTGATAGTGGTAAGTATTACTTTACCAGAATTAGCTTTGATAATGGTTATTTGGTTTAACTTTACCAGCCTGAAATATTTTATTATACTAGTCTTCAAGTATACTTGAGGAATTTATTCAACTGATTCACAAGGAGCTAAATTTGTCAGTATCCTAAATCTTGCAAACTCTCTTTGAATGTAATTTTCATACTCCTCTTTACATTTTAACTGTCATTGTTTATTACGGTTTTTGGCTACATTCTCTACAATTTCAGCAGCATCTTAAAGAGACAATGTGTCTATGTACAATGAAAAAACAAAATGGCTTGCAACATCGGAAATAAGAGCCATAGTTTTAACTGTACAATATTAAGGGGAATCTGTGATAGGTATAGCCTCTGTTTTCTGCAACATGGACAACTTACACATGTAAGTATCAGCATTATGAATGTGACAATAAAGAAAAAAAATTTTTACAGGAGTGAAATACAACATCCTGAAAAAACATTGGTTTCTACCATACAAGGCAGTTAGAAAATGTTCACATTTTAACAAATCTGTACAAACCACAAGAAACTTATGTATGGGACCATCATCCCACTATGATAAGAACCTTCTAGAAATGTAGAATAACCATTAACAATTTATAAATCTAGTATCTATGTACTCCACAGCCCTAGAACCCAGGAACTGATTCAAAGAACTCAATATGCCCAACATGGATCACTTTTACATGCCTTGATTGTTAATGAATGCCTGCTTTTAATCTCTCTATGATGTACAGTTAACTTGCACCTTCACGGAGGTCATTCGATTTTTTTTTTTTTTTTAGCAAAGAAGCAACATCATTTAGCAGCAATTAAAGCGCCTTCAAGAAGACTTAAAAAAAATACAATATCCAATTAGAAAAGCCATATTTTTAAACATTTGTACAAGAATAAGCTGCTGAAACTTAGTAATTGAAATATAACATCTGTACAACAATTTACAGTAGAGCTAGAAGGGAATTTATCATTATCCTGCATAGGTCTGCTTTTGGTTACATACTATCTCTCTTTTTTCAATGAACAAGGCCTGGTAGCAAAACAAAAATACCTGTTAACAATTCTAGCATGTTGAAAGCACTGGATCTAACAACTGAGTGAATTCAACTGATTTCAAAACAAGCAGCTCTTTTTGTCAAAGGTGTAAAGTATCTAAGAATAACAGCTCTTCCTTTAATAGAACCAGTGAAAAAAACGGACAAGTGATTTCGAGGTACAACTTGGTAAAAGCCAGAATAGGCAAATGACAAAGCCTAACTTTGTCCAAAAACTCTTAACTCTCACATTCTATTATTATAAAACACAACGGGCACTGTCATTCAGTTCTTACTTTGGTTTTAGCAGATTAACTGCCGAATGCTGAAGATGTATCCAGGCACTGTAGTTCTTATGTTAGAAATATGTTTCATATTTTTTCCATGTGTTTTTAAATAATGAAAAACTACCCTTCATATTAGAACTCTCTAGTAACAATCAATATATTTAAGTATTATAAACGTTATTTACAGTGTTCCCCTAAATAAACAAAACTTCCCCATTTTTCTTCTATCTTAACATGGTATTCCTGTTTTTGTGCAACAGGCAGTCATTCTTCACTGCTCAAGGTTAGCGTGAGAAGTGTGCACTTATTCACTGTCCATGATCCACTCTCATACAAAAACGTGGAAGTTCAATTCACAAACAGTTCTCAACCATGTCCTGCGTAAAAAAAGAAAACAAAACACTCAAACGCTCTCAAACTCAAGTATGCATCTGGAAGCAATTCAAAGACATCATGCCAATCTTGGAGGAACGTCAGTAAGTAACTATGCTTGAAGAAGGGGGGGTGGGGGATGCTGCCAGCCCAGCCATGTGTAAGTTTCCTGAAGAATTTGATCTTCTCATGTGTGGGAGAAGGTATGGGTCATTTGCCAATTGGTGCACATCAAATCGATCTTCTTTTCGATATGCCAAACAACGTCTTATAAAGGCCTTAAAAAGAAAAGAAAGCCAGCAATTAAAATGACCTTTTTTTCTCTTCTAAGTATCAATCCACTCGTCCAACAGAAGGATTGGATACACTTAAGACTATAAATAGATCTTATCTTACTGGAAGATGAAACCTTCAAAAAACTTTAAAATTCTACAGCAATGAAAATTCATTCCAATTTCAACTCTCCACTCACAACTCCTAGTGTCCCACTATAGTCTAAATTACTATTGCTTCCCCTTGAACTTATTGCTAGAAAGTTGCATTTTTACTTAGAAAATTCTTAAGACTTTTTTCCCCCCAATTTTTTTTTCTATTGCTAAAAAATACTCTCACCCTCATCCCATTTGGCTATCAGTTTAGTTTGACCAAATGGTAAGAAGCCATTTTTTGCCATATTTTTTTTTCCTACTGAGCATAGGATTTTCTTCAGGTTGAGATAATACTGAAGTGACATTCCCTTTTTGTTTCCTAGGTCAGTTCTGTGCATTCTTACAGTTTTGAAGAAGCTAAACAATGAAATGTAGTCACCAATTTTTTTTCGATCTCTATTCCTCGAGAATACCTTTTTACAAAATAACTTTATGGAAGTATATCATTATTTTTAGAAAGACATATGAATTGCATGTGTAAAGCATAAGAATGTATCTATGAAACTGACAACCAGATCAAGATAAAGAATGTTACCAGAACCACCCTAGTAAAGCTCAAAGCCCGAAGTTTAAACCCCAGTACTACTAAAAATCAAACAATAACAACAACAACAAAATCAATTATTATCAGAACTTCTGAAGCCTCCTTAGGCACTTTCCTTTCAAGCAATGGCTCAGTCTCCAACTGAACCTGGGTAAGCCTCCTTCATGACTTCTAATATTACAGCTGAGTTTTTGTTTGTTTCTTCCTAGTGGGACCAGGGTTTGAACTCAAGGCTTTGAACTGAAGGCTTTGGGCTTGCAAAGCAGGGCTATACCGCTTAAGCTACACTTCCAGTTCATTTTGCTCTGGGTATTTTGGACATAGGGTCCTGTGAACTATTTGCTGGGCAAGCCTCAAATCTTGACTCTGCTGATCTCAGCCTCCGAAGTAGCCAAGGATTACAGATGTGAGCCACCAGTGCATAGCTCACAGCTGAGTTTTGATTATTCTGAGCTTTATGTAAATGGAATTATATGGATTATATTCTCTTTTTCTTGGTGGTTTCTTTCACTCAGTATTGTACTTAACAGATAAAAATTTCTGAACTGGTAACTGGTAACTGTTTTGCTTTCTTATTGCTGACACCAGAAATAACTTTACCTTGTCTTGAAATTTGCAGCTGCTACATAAATTCATAAATTATGGTCATAATAGAAGCTTTTAGAATGCAATTTCTCATTTGCTGTGGACATACCCATAAAAAAAATTTCCCACGAGATTTTCTGTATGTTACCTTGTTAGCAACCAACATGTTGGAAACAATAGGTTAATTTGATCATCCAGTAGAAGTAATTAGGCAAGCCACAGGAATTTTCTAAAAGCTGCTTCACTGCCAATGAGATATTACTATCTTTTTTTGCCAAATCTTCACAAAGGTAACACTGTAACTCTTCTTGGCTATATGCAGCAGAGCTAACTCTTGGTTACTGTATAATCATCTCTTATGTTGTCATACATGGTTGAGATAACTGGTGTAAATATCAATTCTTTTTCTCTTTCTTTTTTTGTGGTACTGCGGTTTGAACTCAGGGCCTCGTGCTTACTAGGCAGGCACTCTTACCACCTGAACCACTCTGCCAGCCTGCACTAGTTCTTTTAAAAAGGGCTATAATGAAGTCAAAGCTTTAGCTTTAGAGATACTTTCATGTACAGTGAAGGAATCACAGTATGTAACAAAATTTTATTGAAAAAAAATTCATGAATTAAAGCATTTGCAGGGAAAAAAAGTGAAGACACATACCATTGTACCTTTTATGCTTTGAAATTCATTAAAAGAAAAATTTTCTCTAAAAACATATCTAGTTATTCTCATTATTTTACCATGGCTAACTTACTATCAAAAGTCTACCAATCCCTTAGAGGACTTTATCTCTTTTAGTCTTTAACAAATAAAGCTTTGTGAGAACATTTGAAAATTATTAAAATGGATAAACAAATACGCTAAAAGGCAAAGTTTGAGGGAATAAAAGGCTATCAAGGTTATCAAACAGTAAGGTTAAGGTTAAGGAGTCTGCAATAAGTAAATGTAGCCAAGACACCCACGCCAGGTTAAGGAAAAGTCAACAAAGGTATATTCTATAGAGACAAGAGGTTTTTTTTTTTAAAGAATGCATGTGGAATCCCCTCCATCAACTTTTCTTTGATTCCAGATAACAAAAAGCTCATAATAGAACCTATAAAAAGCCTAAGATAGGAGAGATGGCTAAATGACACTCCCCTGTGGTATACTCCATTCAGGGCCATTTCTGTTAATATTTAAAAAACAAGTAAGTGGGGGGAAGAAGGGGAGAGGTGGTCAAAACAATGTATACACGTGTAAGTAAATGTAAAAACAATAAAAATAAAATTAAAAAGAAGAAGAAAAAAAAACCCTCTGAAAATTTCAGAGCAAAACAGAATGTGAACATATATATATGCTACATTGCATATGGAAATCTCACACCAGATTTCATTAATATGTGCAATTAATACAAAAATTTTAAGAACATGTATGCAATAAATTCTTTGTAATGCAAAAAAATTAAAATAAAAAATAAATAGACCTTATTTAATTGAATTCATTTAATTTCTGCTCTCACTGAGGCAAAACAGAAAAGGATAAAGACAAGACTTGGATGCTGGAACAGTTAAAATCTTTTTAAGAGGGGCACCAGTGGCTCACGCCTGTAGTCCTAGCTACTCAGGAGGCAGAGATCAGGAGGATCAAGGTTCGAAACCAGCCAGGGCAAATAGTTCTCGAAACTCTATCTTGAAAATACCCATCACAGAAAGGGCTGGTAGAGTGGCTCAAGGTGAAGGTCCTCTGAATTCAAGCCCCAATACCAAAAACAAAATCTTTTTAAAGGAGTCATGTTCATCTTATGAAAATAATTCATCACACCTTAAAATAACACCATATTTATCTTTTTTTTTTTTTCTTTTTGTGGGACTGGGGTTTGAACTCAGGACTTTGTGCTTGCAAAGCAGGCACTCTACCGCTTGAGCTATACCTCCAGTCCATTTTCCTCTGGTTATTTTGGAGATGGAGTCTAGAGAACTATTTGCCCCGGCTGACCTCCCGATCTCTACTTTCCAAGTAGCCAGGATTACAGGGTGTGGACCACCAGTGCCCAGATACATTTATCTTTTTGACAAAATCTTGTCATTTAAATAGCTTGTAAAGACAAATAAAGACTTAAAGGACAAAATGGAATGCTGGACAGCTCAATAAACAGTGAAATTACATAAAACCCAGCACATTGTCAATTTTAAAGGCTACTGGAAAAACCTAACAGAATTTATTCACACTATGTAAGAATAATAGAAGGCTGGTAGAATGGCTCAAGCAGTAAGAGCACCTGTCTAGCAAGCCTAAGGCCTCAAGTTCAAATCCCAGTGCCACCAAAAAAACAAAACAAACAGAAAAACAAAACAGAGATACAAAAACAATATGGTGCTTGATTATGAACTAGTCTGTGGCCTGCCCACCAGAAAAAAACAGGAATTTCACAGGTTTGTCTTATGAGTTTCACAGGATTTTAAAAAACAGAAGACTGGTGGAGTGGCTCAAGCAGTAGAGTACCTGCCTACCAAGCAGGAGGCCTTGATTTCAAACTCCAGTACCAAAAAAAACAAAAAAGAAGATGACTCCAACAGAAAATCACAGAGAAATGAGCTTTGTGACAAGTATGACAAAGCAGGAGTAGAAATACAAATATGAAAGGCCAATAGGGTGAAGGTGGGAAGATAGCATCAGAGTTTTGCTATTAATTAGAACTATTTCCCATCATTTTATTAGAAATGTATGGATTAGACCTGGATTATTGGATATACATGAATTATACTGGATATCTCTCAAGAGCCAGTGCAAGGCAGCATAGAGGTCATAGACTTGGATTTTGGTGTTGGCAGGAGTGGATACTTGTGAGGCACAGATGTGCTATCAACTAGTTGGTAAGATTCTGAACAAGGTATTTTGCTATGGTGGGGCTGGCTGCTTTCTCACTTTACAAAATAGGAATAACTAAAGTATGTGTACTTCATTTGGTTGTTAAAATATAATGCATACAACAGCACTAAACAAATGGCAGTTATTACTACATTTATTTTTTCTTATACACTGAAATAGCTCAGTAGTAACATAAGCTGATTAAATAAAACACAAAAGTAATCTCATGATTTTCCCTAATTTTCAAAACAAGCTGATGTGCACAAAGAATTGGGAACCGTATCTGTGTGCTTAAAGATGAAAAATGTTACAATCAAAGGCTGAAGCTCCCTTTTCCAAAGCGAATCACCAGCACTGTTGTACAGATGTCTTGCAGTGGCAATTCTTGTCACTGTACTTAGCTGAAAGTATTTTACTGTATGCACAAAATTTTTTACTTGACAAAATTTATTTAAGGTGAGTTCCATACCTTGGCTTCACTGCTTACAACTGGTTTTACAGGGAACTGGACTTCTGTGGCTTTTAATATTGTATTTTCTTGAAGAATATCTTGTTGAGATTGATTGTGACCAAATGGCTTAAAAAAAATAAAATGTTGAGAAATTTATATACAAAATATTTAAAACAAGGATATCACAGGTGAGCTCCCCAAAAGAAATGATTTGTGTTCTAAAATCTTGTTCTGAGTCATCTGAAAGTTGGGATGTAGTCTCACAGAAACAAGATTGTAACTGCCAGTAGGCTGAGAACTATTCTCAACATAGATCAAACACTGTAAAATGGAGAAATGGAGAAAATAATTAAGATAAAGTAGCTCTAGATTTGGAGTCAGGAGATCTAAGTTTGGTCTTAACATGCTGTGAATTTATGGATAAGTCCCTTAACCTCTCTTCCCATATAGATGTACATAGGGTGAGATATAATCCAGATAATATCTATAGCAACTTAAAAAAAGAGCTATGGAAGGAATTAAGACTGAGTTTGATGATATTTCTCTAAGGAGTCACAGGAGGAACTATTTCCAGGCCAAACTGTGCTTGTTAAGGGTGGGATGGTCATGAATGATGGAGAAAGTAGAGAGAATGAAGACAATGAAAGTAGTTGACTCCAGTGTCCCTAACAGCAGAAAATGTTAGTGCTGTTAACAGATACTTACTACAAAAGGGAAGAGGGAAGCGAGGAGAGGGAAGAGAGAGGAGAGGAAAGGGACAGGAGAGGGAAAGAAAAGATGGCTATTTAAAATAACTGTGATCTAAGAAAGAAATGGTCTCTAAAATGAAGAAACCACCCACAGAGTGGGAGAAAATATTTGCCAGCTACACATCAGACAAAGGACTGATAACTAGAATATATAGGGAACTCAAAAAACTAAACTCTCCCAAAACTAATGAACCAATAAAGAAATGGGCAAGTGAACTAAACAGAACTTTCTCAAAAGAAGAAATTCAAATGGCCAAAAAACACAAATGGCCAAAAAATGTTCACCATCTCTAGCTATTAAGGAAATGCAAATCAGAACCACACTAAGATTCCACCTCAACCCTGTTAGAATAGCCATCATTAGAAACACCACGAACAACAGGTGTTGGCAAGGATGTGGGGAAAAAGGAACCCTCATACACTGCTGGTGGGAATGCAAACTAGTACAACCACTCTGAAAAAAATTTGGGGGCTTCTTAAAAATTTAAACATTGATCTGCCATATGATCCAGCAATACCACTCTTAGGAATATACCCAAAGGAATGCAACACAGGTTACTCTAAAGGCACTTGCACACCCATGTTTACTGCAGCACTATTCACAATACACCCAAGTTATGGAAACAGCCAAGATGCCCCACTACTGATGAATGGATTAAGAAAATGTGGTATTTATACACAATGGAATTTTATGCAGCCATGAAGAAGAATGAAATGTTATCATTCGCAAGTAAATGGATGGAACTGGAGAACATCACCCTGAGCAAAGGCCCAGAAGACCAAAAATCGTATGTTCTCCCTCATATGTGGACTTTAGATCAAGGGCAAACACAACAAGGGGATTGGACTTTGAACACATGATGAGGTGAGAGCACACAAGGGAGGTAGGCGGATAGGCAAGAAACCTGAAAAAAACAAGATAGCATTTGTTGCCCTCAATGCAAAGAACTAATGCAGAAACTTTAAAGCAACAGAGGCCAATAGGAGAAGGGGACCAGTAACTAGAGAAAAGGTTAGTTCGAGAAGAATTAATTTGGAATGTAACACATATGTACAGGAAAGCAATGCAAGTAAACTCCCTGTATAGCTATCCTTATCTCAACTAGCAAAAACCCATGGTCCTTCCTATTATTGTTTATACTCTCTCTTCAACAAAATTAGAGATAAGGGCAAAATAGTTTCTGCTGGTAACGGGGTGGGGGAGGGGGAGAGGGAGAGGTAGGGGGAAGGGAGGGAGTAGTGGGAAGGGGGGAGAAATGACCCAAACATTGTATGCACATATGAATTAAATAAATAAATAAAGCTAAATTTCAGCAGGTGGGTTTAGTGTACCTTTCCCATCAATACAGGATAAAAAATGCTATTATATAATAAATAAATTAAATTAAATAATTGTGATCTAAGAAAGAAATTGGGAAGCCTGACATTCCTTGGAAAGATCTAAGTTGACGCCAAGTTGGTGACAATTTGCCTTTAAGAAGGAAAATTCAACTTACTTCTACACCAATGAAGCTGGTATAACTTACCTTTCTACCATAAAGACACTGAAAGAAGATGACTCCAACTGACCACACATCAACCTTGTTGGAAATTTTTGGTGGCTCTTTTCCAACTACAAAACACTCAGGAGGTAAATACCTATAGTATTTTTTTGGGGGGTGAGAGGGGAGTGGTGGTAGAAGAAAAGGATACTATTAACAATCTTTAACTTAAAACCTTCTTAAACATTCTAAATCTCAGAATGCTTATTTTATTCATATATAAACTTTAGGACTATCATCAATGAAAACCATCAATTCAATTTTTTCTGAAGCATTTATATTTTTTAATCGTTTGACTCTAGAGCCAAAACATACAAATTTATAATGAAGTACATTTATACCTATATATATAGTAACAATACATTATCACCTAGAGAGTGTAATACTACCTTGGTGTAATACTGTAATCTGGGAATCTAATAGAAAAATCCTTTCCCATTGCCCTCAGTCAATATTCAAACTGTAGGCAGTTCTCTTCCTAAAATGTCTATCAGATCATGTGGTTCTCTTTTTTAAATGGCCTGGACAGCATTCACTACCAACTAGGTAAGAGTTCATATTTTGTTTGTACCACAAGACCCACCCCAATCCTGGCAAGAACATATTTATTTAACTTCAAAGTCTGCACTTGGTATTATCCCCTCAGATTGACTCATCAGAACCAGCTCACTTGCTTTTTCACACTTTGTGTGTATGTGGCAGCACTGGGGTTTGAACTCAAGGCCTCACACTTACTAGGGCAGGTACTCTTACCATTTGAACCACTCCACTGACCTCACTGTTCTCCTTTTTCCTCTGTTCTTTTGAATCTCTAATGCCTTCCCCAGTCACTGTGTTTCATTTAAGCATTTTTCTTCTTCTAGACCCAACCTCCATGAGCCTTCTCTGCTTCTCTCCAGGCAGGGCTTTCCTTCATCTCCCTATGCTAGGGCAGGATATATGGTACCTCTACCTTGGCTAGACTAGGAGTTCTTATTCACTATGCAGTTTCAAATACAGGCAGTATCTGGAATATATGGATTATTCAAAGTCCTACTTTCTAAATATTCTACATGCTATTTATAAGTTAACACTTCTTTTTATAAATGAAGGGTAAAAATTAAATTTATCATTTCATGTTTTAAGTAGAAGATCCATTAGAGGTGCAAGCATCACACAACTACAAAAATTTAGGTAAACTAAAAATTATGAATGGGAGTAATACAGCTAAGTGGGAATCCATTTTTTAAAAATTCAGTTTTACACTCAATATGCTTAAATAACTAAGGTTTCAATAGGCTGCTGACAGATCTTAAAAGCATGAAATTTTCTTAAATAAGAACCATCAGAGACAACCAATGACTCATTTCCATACAAATCCTTTCCTATCCCCCAAATCAAGTAAAAAGCTATTTGTTTTATCAAAGTGTCTAGTTTGTTCAGGTATGTGATTAAAAACAATGACTGCACTTGACACCAGAGTGAAAGAGAGAGATTAAACAGATTTTTTTCTAAGTGACATTGGCAAATGTTTAAGTTTCTGGGGATGAAAGGTCATTTATAAAAGTATTCTAAAAGTATCACTAGGTCATCCCAGTTTCCAAATACGCAGCTAAACAGCAAACATGACTGTAGAAAATAACCATTTTTTTTGGAACATTGTTTCTATGGTGAATATATTCCATGTCCCTACAGGGGAAATGCCATGATATTTACAGACAGTTCTTACTTTTAACAGTTAAGATATATATTTATGTAAGTTTTATGTGGATCATAATTACCACACTACCATTAGAAGACACTCTTATGAATTACCCATCTTAGGAGATTCTGGCTGGAGAATACTAAAGTTACTTGCTGATGCTAAGTCATTCTTTCTCCAGTTTGTTATATATGTATTTTTTGGTGGGACTGAGGTTTGAAGTCAGGGCTTTGTACTTACAAAACAGGCACTCTACCACTTGAACCACATCTCCAATCCTAGCTTGCTAACATCTACAGTTAAGAAGAAAAAAGTGGCCAGGTGCCTGTAATCCTAGCTACTCAGAATAATCAAGGTTTGAAGCCAGCCCAAGCAAATAGTTCATGAGTCCCTATTTTGGAACAAACAAACAAACAAACAAACAAACCCAACACAAAATAGGACTCCAGAGTGACTCAAGCAGGAGAATGCCTGCCTAGTAAGTGTGAGGCCCTGAGTTCAAACTCCAATACTGGCAAAAAAAAAAAAAAAAAAAGTGGACTAATGACAGGATTCTCTCTCTAAACTCACTGAAAATAAACTCAAAAGACTACTTGAAAATAAAACTAAATTCTCATTAAAAACCCTGGAGGTGAATCTAGGTAATTTTGGTATGTTTAGTTGTACATTTACCAGTAAGTGCCTGCCCCTTGGGAAGTTAGATCCATTCCGTCTACACCATAACTATCATCATCCATAATCTTGGACAGACCAAAATCCGTGATTTTGATTTCTCCACATGCTGTTCCATCTACCAGAAGGATGTTTCCTAAAAAGAAAATATAAGATTTTTTTTATTTATGATGTATATATGAAAAACATTACTTTTACTATTTAAATGAACTTTTGGGAAAGTAGGTGCATGTTTTCAGATAACTGAATATATATGACGTTCTAAAACTATACTGTATAGAGTTTAAAAAATTATTAGACACATTTCACTAATTACCTGGTTTAAGATCATAATGTATAATAGGAGGTTTGATCTCATTGAGATATCTTAGTGCATTTACAATCTGCATTACAATAGACCTAGCTTCTTTCTCTGACATTAATTTGTGTTGCTTCAGATAGAAATCCAGGTCATTGCCTTCACAGTATTCTAACACTGTACAAAACCTACAATGGGAAAGACAGAGAGAGGGAAAAAAAGACATAATTATCCAATAAGTCAGAATCACAACAGAGAAATGGAGAATATCTGTATCATCACCATGGGATAGGGAAAGCAAAAACAAGCTTTTCTTAAAAGATAAATCCTTTTCTTTACTTACGTATCTGTATCCAAGGAAAAATAATCATACAGTTTAACTATTCTGGGGTGATCCAGTTCTTTGTGTATTCTATACTCTCTGCAGGCATGCCTGTAGGAAGAAAGTATATTAATTCTCTGTGACCACTTAAAAATTCAATTTTTAAAACCCATAGAGTATTAACATTTACTTGTGGTAGTTTTCTTTTTTCTCATCTCTCCAGCTTTTATTAAGCTGATGGATCTTCACAGCAGCGTATCTTTGCTCATACAGGTCAAAAGCCTAGGATTTAAGGTAAAAAAAAAAGGTCATGCCCATACACCAACCAAATAGCCAGAGTTTTTGTGTTTTTTTCTGGATGATAATTTTTGCAATAATATGGAATTAAAATATACTATAAATCTTTAGTAATCATCTTTACTATTGTCACACTCAAGTTTTATAAATGCCAATATAGTGAATCAAGGTAATAATGCTAGTATTTGTTTTTAAAATGGATCTGCTCTTCTATGCTGTCAGCCAGGAAACCAGATGGTTACGTTTTTTTGTAGGTTGAATAAAATAAATTTTAAAATCTATCTTCTTAGCAGCCCCCTACACTTCTTGTTCACATTTGTGAAAATTAACAAATTCCTAACAATTTTTCAGTTCTTAAAAAACCATACTGTTAGTATCTATTATTGTTCAATATATATAAAAGGTAGTATAATGTACCCTTATGAACCCACTCACTGTCCAGTGTTAAAAATTTTGCCATACTTATTTCTTGTATTCCCTATGACACTTTTTTTGGAGGGGAAGGGAGGGTCTGATCAAATCCAGTGCTTCATGCATGCTAGGAAAGTGTTCTTCTGTTAAGCCCCCATGCTTTAAAAAAAATTTTTTTATAAAAATAAACCCCAGAAATATATCATTTCACCTGTAAATTCTTCAATTATCTCTAAGAGATAAAAGGCATTAAAAACAACCACGTTATCACACCTAACTCCATCAATAAAATTCCTTAATCTCAGCTAATACCCAGCCTGTCCTCAGTTTTCCTTTTCGTCTCAAAAAGAGGATTTGTACTTGTACTTGATTTGCTCAAATCTGTAGTTTATTTTTTAAAAACAACATAAAATGACAGAATGCTAAGTACCTTTCAAGGCTTCACATGATTTATAAGATTTTTTTTTTGTAGTTCTGGAGATTGAACCCAGGACCTTATTCATGCTAGTCGAGGCTCAACTACTTGAGCCATGCTCCCAGCCTCATCAGTTGCTTTTTTTTTTTTTTAAATAACATTGAATGCCATTTATAAAAGCTTTAACAATTTAAGTTCCATTGTAAGTTATATTCAAAGATGTTCCTAAAAAAACACCTAAGGGCTCAGAATATAGCTTAGAAGTATGACACTTGCCTAGCCCTGGGTTTGATGATCACCATGGCAAAAACCAACCCCAAATTAAGTGCTTACATATTTGTTAGAAAGAAGATCCCCACTTCCCCACCCCATGGAGTTAACCTAAAAATAAGCAGAGTAAAACCAGTAAGCTGCTTATTTAAAAATTATAAAAACGTAACATCAAAAGTAACATAGGGAATGAAGTAGTTAAGAATATTCTCTTTGGAGTCAGATGACCTTTGTGCTAATAAGTATTCTCTCTGAACCTTGTAAAGTTGAGTTGTTGAGAGGATTAAATGGAGACTGCAGGTAGCAAGGGCAGTGTTTAGATGCTGGAAATAAAGACAATGTAAGCCACAAAAAACTTTCTTTTATGATGACAGTGAGGACATTAAAAAAAAAAATCAGTCTAAAATGAATAAACAAAAGATAAATACTTAACTTCATACTGCTGTATTTTTCCTATATTTGTGTGAAGAACAGAACACATTACCTTATACACTTCACTAAAGCCACCTCTTCCAAGAAGATGAAGTAATAAATATCTCTCATTTAATGTTGGGTGATCTTTGAACCTTAAGGGCAGGAAAAAACTAGTTAGGCACATTGAAAGACAAACAGAAAGCTTCTTGTACATTAACGTTCCATTCTCTTATTCTATTCCTAGCTATTTCTTTCTCAGTTAGTGTTAATTTCAAATTCCATTTATTTATTTATTTTTTATTCCCTACCAGTCTACCTACACAAACACCACCTATCTTAAAGGTTAATTTTTATAGCTGAATATTCAGATTCAATGACTAATTATGACATTAATTGGATGTGGTGGCTCATGCCTATAATCCTAGCTACTTGGGAGACAGAGAGCAGAAGGATCATGGTAGAAGCCAGCATGAACAAATGTCTCTAAAGACCCTATCTTGAAAAATACCCAACACAAAACAGGTAAGGTAGAGTGGCTCAAGTGGTAGAGCACCTGCCCAGCAAGCCTGAAGCCCTGTTATCACCAAAACAAACAAACTTGGAAATAATTACAAATAGTAGCATCACTACTGTTACTATTTAATACTATTTAATGTTTACTGAACCTGTATATATTAAGCACTTACATTTAGTTCTCAACCAGCCCTATGAAGCAGATCCTGCTACTATGCCTAAATAGTTTGCTAAGGCTAGTAGTCAATAAGATGGTTAGTTCAAATGTGCACTCTTGAAATTTTAAAAAAGACAATAATAGCTTTAAAGTTGTATCTTATAATTTTTATTCAAAATCAACTGAATATAGGTTTGATAATTTAAGCTTTTCTTGAAAAACTTAAGATATTTGTGCTTAGTTTTAAAGGTACATTTAACAATTCATTTTATTTTAATTAACCTAAGTCATAGCCTAAAATTTTGAATCTAATTTTAAAAATAGTTAATTTCAAGTTATTTTTCTCATCTATTTTGTAAGAATTTTAATGTGATAGAATTTAGGTTGATCCCTAACTGCATTATTTCGTTCACCTTGCTCACTAAATTAATGTTGTTTATATTTATGAATTATACATACATTGATAATCACAGACAGACCTTTTGCCAAGCAAGATATTCATATTTCATAACAGAAATTGGCTATTTCCAATTATGATACTCTAAGTCATGAAGCTTAAAATTGTATCACTAGTCCTCTTTTGTGCCAATCCAAGTAATGCCCTGTCATTTCTATTTCTATCTTCTTCATGAAGCTCCCACAACACAGATATTTCTTCTTTGAATTCCTTTAACATCTATTATATCCATGGTACTCATTTTGATAACTAGAGATTAAGAACAGAAACTATGATTTGTAGTTTTTTTTTCCCCCACAAATTATTGCATAATCCTGGATACAGGGTTTACTGGAATACTTTTGGTTGAAATAATTTCTCCTTCACTGCTGTAACATTCACTTTGGTACTGGTCAACAAACATTTATTAAGTGCCTACCATGTGCTAGGCACTAAGTCTAGGCACTGGTCATACAACAAGAACAAAACTAAGTCCATGAGTGAGAGAAGACAGATAATAAATAACTAAAAATTATAATTCCAGATGATGATAAATATTATGAAAAAATAAAGCAAGGATAGGATACTGAGGGAGGGAACGAGCAGAGGCAGGGACTGCTATCTGAGTTAAGAGTGTTCTAAGGACAGCCTCTCTAATGAACACCTGGAGTGACATAAAAAATAATGCACTCAGATATTCAGAGGAGGAACATTTCATGTAGAAGAAATGGCAAGCACAATAGGCCTCATATGGAAATGTGCTTGACATGCCTGAGTGGCCGGGGACCAGATCATGCAAGGCCTTCAGAGCCACAGCAAGCACTATGTACCTTTTCTAAATGTGAGGAGATGCCTGACAAGGAAACTATTTTTATGCTCTCCATAAAAGGGAACTTTTATAACATGCAACTGTGAACCACAAATAAAGACTTACTGTGAATTATCTTCATTATTTATTCTTTTGAGCTCACGTATGTGAAGATTTCTGACTCTTTCCAAACGTTCAAGTTCTGCTTGGATTTCTGCCTCTTCCTGAAAATGAAAAGAGGGGACTATAACAAGCTCAATTTATTTGTGATATAAAAAAGGTGTTTTTACCCATGCGTCAATTTTTTACAGTGATGGGAAGAATAGTGCATTATAAAGTACTACTGAACTAAAACACCAAAGTGCTCTTTTCAATGCCTGAAAGACAGAAAGAGAAGGCAAAAGCCTACTTCAAGAAACCATCCTCACATAAAAATCTATACCTAATGAGATGCTGAATTTTATTCTTTACTGTAAGAAATCTATTTTTATACTGTTTATACTGAAACTGACTACAAGGCAGTCTGAAGCTGACTTAAAACACAAAATGAGCTGAAAATTTTATTTCTGGTCCACCTGAATTTTAACAAAGCAAATGAAATGAAGATATTCTGTAATGATTAAAAAAGGGAAAAAGGAAGAATTCAGACCACTGAGTATTCCTAAAACCTTATAACATTTGGAATACAAATACACTCACACATGATCTGACCATTGTGGTAGATCCTCAGTTATCAAAGCAGATGTAGGCAGGTCTTTAAGAAGTGTACTTTAAGCAAAGATTACTTATGTCTTTCTCTTATACACATACTTTTTAAAAATATGTTTGAATTTTTGTTGAGGAAGTAAATAAATACAGATTATGTTGGCCTAATATATGCCCACTCTCATAAATCTAGACCCCACTGATCAGATGTTATTTCTAATTATTACATTTAAATATTTTCTATTTAATTAGCTTCTTTGCTTTTAGTGATTTATCTTTCAACCCCCAAAAACTAATTCTGAAGTTTATTTTGAAAATGTAAGTATCATCATTTCACTCAAATATAAATAGTAGAGGTATAAAGTCTATTACACCTATACCTAAGACATTGAAAGGTGTATGTTAAGTATTATGAAGTAGAATCCAATCTTCACAGATTAGAAAAGTAAATCTAAATATGTTGCTTGTATTCTACTTGGCATCTTGGTGGTGGTGGTATGGGGGTTTTGAACTCAGGGCCTTGTACTTACTAGGCAGGTGCTCTAGCACTTAAGCCAGGCCCTTAGCCCTGTATTCTACTTGACTTACAGGTTATTTGAAAATGAATTCAACCACTGTTTTTTTGCAGAGGTAAATGTAAATCAGGTATCAGAAAATAAACAAAAAATTTCAAAATAAACTTAAATAAAAATAAAAGTTTATCAGAATTTTTTTTTTCTGAAACAGATACATACTAAATATACTTTTTTTTGGGGGGGGGTGATAACAGGGGTTAAACATAGGGTCTTAAGCACTCTAGGCAAGCCCTTTATTACTGAGCCACATCTCCAGCCCTAGATTGTCTTAACTGACACTTCATCAGTCACAAATATTTTTTTGTTTGTTGGTGGGAGGGGAGGGTGGTACTTGAGAAAAAAGTCTCTCAATGTATTGTAAACTGGTCTCAAACTCCCCATTTTCCTGGCTTAGCCTTCTGGGTACTGGAATTACAGGTGTGTATCACCATGCCTGCTTCAGCATTTCTTATCCTAATGAAGAAAAAAAAGTAAGGTAACATCTTTAGAGATTTAATAATGAGAGATTTGTTGTAAGAGCAGGAAAAAAGGAGCCAGGCACCAGTGGCTCACACCTATAATCCTAGCTACTTGAGAGGCTGAGATCAGGAGGATCATGGTTTAAGGTCAGCTTTGGGCAAATAGTTTGTATGACACCCTACCCCCCCATTTCCAAAATAATGAGGGCAAAATGGGCTGGAGGTATGGCTCAAGCAGTAGAGTACCAGTTTTGTGAGTGTGAAGCCCTGAGTTAGAACCCCAGTTCCACCCCACCCCCTCCAAAAAAAAAGAGCAGGAAAAGAATTTTAAAGTTTTTAACAATAAACTCAAAACACAACTTAGCTGTCTTAATTTAGTCATAAAAAGTAGAATACAAAACTGGCCATACAGATATGACAGATATGAAAGAATTTAAATTAATTTAAAGTTGAGAATCTAAAAAGCAGTAACTTTTTCTCTTCCTATTACTAACATCTGGTAGGCTGGTAAAATTTTAAGTCATCTGGTGAAAATATATAAAGCTTATTAGCGTACTGGCTGAAGTATTTACTTTAACTTTTATTTGAAATTAGACTACAGGGAACTACTTCAATCGTGAATTTACAGAAGTTAACTTTTGCTGAACCATAAATAAATATGCAACATTCAACTAAATTTTTGAACCTAATTATATTTTTTAACTGTGCACATAATTATATTTATTTTAGAATCTTCAGCTATCAATACAATGTAACTAATATCACAAAACAAGTATTATGGAAAATAAATGTGTCAGAAAATTAAAAAGCAAGTTTCTTTCCCTCTATAAAGCATGATAAAATTATGTCCCATAAAGTCTTACAAAATAAAAATGGAGACGTGCTTCATTCAGTTTGAACTGTTAGGTTTACCAGAAAATCAAAATGTCAGAAGCACTAAGGGGAAAACTATATTCTAGGTATTTAGGAGGAAATGTCAAGGAAAGAAACACAGAGAGACATAAATCCACCAATTAGTAAAATGTATTTATATCTTCCACTTTGTAACTTAGTATTTCACAGTACCTTAAGACAAAGTGACATAGTTCTAGGGGAAAAAAATAATTATGGAACCCTTAAATATCTTCCCCCAAATCCCACTGAGAAAAAGCATATACACTGTTATGGACTGAATATTGTGTTCTCTCCAAATTCTTATACTGAAGGTCTAATCCTCCAGCATGATGTTTTATGGAGATGCGGCCTTTGGGAAGTAATTAAGAATTAGCCATGTGTAAGACAGGAAGAAAATCCTCACCAGAAACCAAACCCTGTTGGACCACAATTTTAGACTTTTAGGCTCCAAAATGAAGAAAACTGTTTTCTGTTGTTTAAGCCACACAGCCTGGTGCTGTGTTATAGCAACCTAAGCAGACTAATATATATCCCTTTAAGCAATGCTGGGGCTATACTATCCTAACATCCTTTCATCACTGAAAGGAGCACAGCCCAGTCTTGGTCTGCCTCCAAGGAAAGTAGCTGTCTCATCAACTAATTTACCTTTAATCAGACCATTTCTAAAGGTCTATCATGTAGGCTATATCCTCTTTTGTTTGAGACTGACATTAACCTCTGGGGTATTCTCCAAATTAATCTTTCTTCAGAGGATTCTAGAATGAGAGTGCCTAGGTTTACAATAATCACCACAGAATGGAATTTCAAATTCAAGGCAAAACTAGACCAGACTGGTAGGATAAAAAAACACAATCCAAACAGCTAAAGTGCATTTAGTAAGAATACCAAATTTCAATCCTGGATTCATCCACTAGCTGAGCAGTTTACTAAAGCAAAGAGAATCTAGAAGAAACAAAGAGGGTTAGCGTCATGACTCAAGTGGTAGAGGACTGCCTAGCAAGCATGAAGCCCTGAGTTCAAACCCTGAAACCTCCCCACACCTTAAAACAACGATGACAACAACAAAACAAAAAGAAACAGACATTATAGAAATGTACTGGTCCCTGAAGGCAATTACAATGTAGAAGGGACACGAGTTAGAACAGACTATATTAAAGAGAGAGGTAGGTTTGATGATTAAATACTATATATATATATAATAAATTATCTTTATATATATATACAACATATACAAAATAAATATATACCACAACAGTTTTAACATCTTATTTTAACAGTACTTTAAAATAAGATGATACTCTGTATTACTTATATAAAAAAAACCAAGTAACAAATCTCAATATTGCCTGTTTAAATCTGCAAAATACCATCTTCCAATATTTTGTTTTTCAAAATTTTAAATGGAAAATAAATCCCACAGAAACTTAACCAGAACAGTTTGTCTCTTACCAGACCTTCAACACAGAAATGCTTTCTATTTGTAATCAAAGTCTCTTCTGACAACTTAATATTCCTTTGTTCAACTTTCTAAGCCAAAAGAAGGTTGCAATAATGTAGAATCTGTAAATTCCAGGTTAAAAGTGCTAGGTAAATTTGTAATTTTGTTTTTGGAAGTAATGGAGTTTGAACTCAGGGCCTCATGCTTGCTAGGCAGGCATTCTACCACTTGAGCCACTCCACCAGTTCTGTTTTGTGTTGAGTATTTTCGAGAAAGGGTCAAGAACTATTTGCCCAGGGTGCATTTGAACCTTGATTCTTCTGATTGATGCCTCCAGAGTAGCTAGGATTATAGGGGTGAGCCATTGGTACCTGGCTGTAATACTTTTTTTTTTAAAAGCATTTCCCATAATGGTAATTTTTCAAGTCAATTATTAAAAGAAAGGTGAAGGTGTAGGTGTTGAAGCAGTAAGACTTAAAAGTTATAAAATGTATTTTCACATTTAAAACCACCATCTCCCTCAAATTAAACATACTCATTTGGATAAGGGCAAAACAGTTTCTGCCTGGTAGCGAGGGAGTAGTGGGGAAGAGGGAAGAAGCAGAGGGAAAAGGAGGGGGTGGGGGGAAGAGGGGAGAAATGACCCAAACATTGTATGCACATATGAATAAAACAAATAAAAAAAAAAATCAATGAAAAATTAAACTATTTCATCTCAAAAAAAAAATACTCATCTGAAAGTTATTTAGCAAATCCTGTATTTATACTATATGTTATTCCCACCACAAACCTCAACTTCCAAGAAATGTCATTTTATAAAGCCAATATAAGATAGGATATAGTTTGTTCTTTGCAGTGTTTGGGATTGAACCCAGGGCCCCTGGCTAGACAAGGGCTCTCTGTACCACTGTGCTACACCCCCAGTAAAGTACTTTGATACAGCTTTCTCAGCTTGCCTACAATGGATGAGGGTCAGTGAAAGAAAATATTTTTTGCGTTGTATATTATTAAAAAATGGTAGAATCAAAACTTGGTATAGTCTATTCAACAGCACCATAACAACTCTTTAAGTAGTTCAAAATGGCAACACCACGAACTACAGGTGTTGGCGAGGATGGGGGGAAAAAGGAACCCTCTTACACTGTTGGTGGGAA